AAAAAAAAAAAAAAAAAAAAAAAAAAAGGAATGATCTGAAGTGAAGTAACCTTGTTGCTATGATTTTATATGCAAAATGACAAAGGAAAGAGAGACTTCATGGCCCTACTATATTTGTTCTATGTCTCTGATAATTTTGTAAGCTTCCCTCAGTGAATGCTCATGAGCAATTGTTGTCTCACAGGCACTAGTTGATAATAACGAGATGTCCTAAATTTAGTGTCCAAGGTTTTTTTATTTCAGGGCACATATTTGCTATTCTGATAAAATACAGAAATAGGCAAGGAACCCAGTTAATTAAAAATAAATAAAACTACAACTGTGGTGAAGTGTTCTTGAAAATGTAAACAAATCCTGCTGGCTGTGTAGAAGGATCGAGAGGAGGTAACTTCATAGTGTATAGTCCCTCTGGATTAAAGATCATGATATTCTGTCCAGGCAGAAGCAGGTCATCATTCTTAAGTTCAGAAATGTTTCATGAATTTGCATGTCATCTTTGTGCAGGGGCCACGCTAATCTCTGAATTGTTCCAGTTTTAGTGTATATGCTACTGAAGTGAGCACTAAGGTTCAGAACTGTTAAATGCCACTTCCAGGAAGCATAAGAGAGCCTCTTATTTGTTAGAAAATAACAAGTAAGAAAGCTGTTTAAAAAGCAGGACGTTTTATATTCTAAGTACCCTGAAGTGCACCTGGATCACCAAAGAAGGATCCTGATGATTATTCATGAATGAAGAGCTTCATGAAGAGGTTGTGGTGGGTAAGCTGCTGCTCCAGCAATATATTATTAACCTCTGTGCCTATCACCTCCCTGTGCCCTGGGACACTCACCCACCTCAGACTCCACAACATGGTGTGGCTCCCTAAAATACCTGTATCATTGCTTTGCAGGGCAGCAAAAACAAGTCAGCAAACTCTTCTGCTTCCTCTCTTTACAAATGGCATGCTGGGGCAGGGGGTGAGAATGTGAGCTGAGTCACCAGAAGAGCTCACTGAATCCCCCACTCCTCTAAGCCTGTTCAGACGTGCATTTGTAGGCACTAAGAGGGGGTCTTCCCTGTCTCCTCAATTCTTTCTTTCTTAAAATTAAATAAAAATAGACATGGGGTTTCATCATGTTGCCCAATGGTCTTGAACTCCTGGGCTCAATCAATCCTCCCACCTTGGCCTCCCAAAGTGCTGGAATTACAGGAGCTGGGTCACCGCGCCTGACCCTGTCTCTTCAATTCTAAGCAGGTGTGTTGGGCTTCTCTCAAATTCAATTTAGAATTTCAGGAAAGGGGAAAGGAAGACAGCTATGCCCCAACATCCACCAAAAGACATCTGCAACCTAGAGGGTACTGGCCTTAGACATGGCTCTAAGTCATGGTTAGACTAAGTGTACCTAGAAGGTGTCAACTCCAGCCTGGTCTTACTGACTCAGTGATACCCTGTGTCAAGGTGAGAGGGCAAAGAATTAAGGCCAAGTCTACCTGCCACATGGGAACATTCATCTTATGACTGACTCCTACTGCAACAGCAATTCACACACAGTTCACTGTTTTCACATGAAGCACCTAACTCTACAAACATTTCCTCCTCTGGGAACACGTGGAGCAAATGCTTCTGTGGAATTATGGCCATTATTCTAAGCAACACTCACAAAGAGTGTGGCTGGAGGCTCCAGATCAGGCCACGAAGTTTGCTCACCCTGCACACTGCTGGATGCACCCTCCAAAGCATCATTTGGTACCCTCCAAAACCCTATCGCTGGTAGGTCCAACACAGGTATATGCAAGTTTAACAAGTTTCCACCCACATTTTACCATCTGGTTTGGGTCCTTAGCTGATGTTTTAGGTAATGGACCAAATGCTTTCCAAGTCTTCCAAAGGTCACATTCCCTCTATCCAGATTATAGCTAAGAGTTCTTTTGCATATGATGGCAATTAATATGGGAACATGTGATTTCATTTTTCTTCAAAATAATTTTCAACTTGCTAATTCATTATAAAGTGAAAATGAATGTAGCTATTTCTGGACTCCATTTATATATTTCTTTTTTTTTTTTTTTTTTGAAACGAAGTCTCACTCTGCCAAGGCTGGAGTGGTGCAGTGGCGCAATCTGGCCTCACTGCAACCTCTGCCTCTTGGTTCAAGTAATTCTTCTGTCTCAGTCTCCCAAGTAGCTGGGACTACAAGTGCGCACCACCATGCCTGGCTAATTTTTTTGTATTTTTAGTAGAGACAGGGTTTTACCACGTTGGCCAGGATGGTCTCGATCTCTTGACCTCGTGATCTGCCTGCCTCGGCCTCCCAAAGTGCTGGGATTACAGGTATGAGCCACTACGCCCGGCCTCCATTTATGTATTTCTATATGAAAGAACTTCTTTTTTTTTTTTTTTTTTGAGACGGAGTTTCGCTCTTGTTACCCAGGCTGGAGTGCAATGGCGCGATCTCGGCTCACCGCAACCTCCGCCTCCCGGGTTCAGGCAATTCTCCTGCCCCAGCCTCCTGAGTCGCTGGGATTACAGGCACGCGCCACCATGCCCAGCTAATTTTTTGTAGTTTTAGTAGAGACGGGGTTTCACCATGTTGACCAGGATGGTCTAGATCTCTTGACCTCGTGATCCACCCGCCTCGGCCTCCCACAGTGCTGGGATTACAGGCTTGAGCCACCACGCCCGGCCTTGAAAGAACTTCTAAGTTTCTGTTGACAGACAAACCAATATCTACAGCTAGGAGGGTAGACTAGGCTGTTCTTTAATGTCAGGTTTTTTTTTTTTTTTTTTTTTAGACAGGGTCTTACTCTGTGGTTCAGGCTGGAGTGCAATGGTGCGATCACCACTCACTATGGCCTCAGTTTCCCTGGGCTCAGATAGTTCTCCCACCTCCGTCTCCTGAGTAGCTGGGACTATAGGTACATGTTACCACCCCTGGCTAATTTTTATAGAGATGGGGTCTCACCAGCTTGTCCAGGCTGGTCTTGAACTCCTGGGCTCAAGTGATTCACCTGCCTCATTCTCTCAAAGTGCTGGAATTACAGGCATAAGCCACTGCACCTGATATGTCATGCCTCTTAGGAACTCACATACAGAAAACTAATTCAGTGAAAATTCATTCCCTCACTCCTTTTTGTTTCTAAGACAGACTGAGTGAAAGATTTCTGAAGAGTTCTACATTAGCAGTTCTGCAATCTCCTTAGAAAGGCTGCTTGAGAGAAGTAGGAGATGGAACAGGTACTGTATACCCTGTGAGATAAGAATTGCACCAGAGGGAAAAATGCAACTCAAGAGCAAAAAGTGCTTTTATATGTCACTCTGAACCAGCAATCTGGGAAACTGCATTCACTGATAAGAGGGCACAGCCTTCTAGGCTGTCTGGCATTTTGAGGATATGTCACATTAGTTGAGTGGTGATACAGTATGCCTCTTGTCCCTTGGTTTGCTGAGTCTGGCCTCTGCCATGTGTCCTATGCTGCTGCCAGGCAGCCAGGTACACAAAGGCATAAGTGCTGGGCCACCTGCTCAATGCACAGGACATGCCCCACTGCTGACAACCTTGGGATTCTCAGGGAGGGAAGTCCTGGCCACAATGAGCCACGGGTGCCTCCTGGAACAACTGGTTGAAAGAGGAAAAAGAGAATATGAAGATGAGATTAATGAGTGAATGAGGATGAAGTTCTTACCCGGTGGTGGGATGCCTGGGAGGCCAGGCACACCTGGCGGAAGATGGTGGGGTGGAGGCCCCCCAGGGTGAAGTGGCTGCATGCTGCCCATGCTAACAAGGCCATCAACTGGGCCCTGCAAAGGTGGAAGGCCTGGCGGATAGCCACCCATCATGCCTTGAAGGACATAACAAATTTCAGACATGCATCATTAACATGCAACACGAGCTAAGTAATAACAACCACCTCCCACATGCACTACCAATGAATAAAGCACCCTTAGTACTGCATGATATAACAGCAATTAGTGCAATTATTTTGTTGCAATAATGAACAAAATAAAAAGTTACAAATATGAGACCCAACACTTTGAGATAAATTAGTACTTAGTATACTATTATTTGTAGTTATTTTCCCTGGGGTAAATAAGCTGTATGTTTTCAGTTAAATAATAGTAAAAAGTGCTAGTAACAGCCTTCCCAAAGTCATAATTATTGCAAGCTGTTCAAACAGAATGACCAGTTCTGCCGACTGCAATTCTAACTGAATAGTATAAACCCCATCATTCCACTCTGCCCACACTCATATGCCTATCATGGGTACACATGAGGGGAAACAGGAATGGAGGGAAATGAGGCGCATAGTCCTGATCACAAAGCATGGTTCTCCAGCTTGGGGGCAAGAATTTTTCAAGACTTCTACATCTACTCCTTCTCCTTTCTAGCCTTACTACTCCTGGTAAGAATGGATTGTGTTTGGCCTTGAGCCAGGGAACAGCTTCTAAGAACCATCACAGTGAATGGTATTTCATTCTTTAGATCTAAAAATGTGATAAAGATAAAACCTAAACCCTCCCAAACCAACCAAGCCCAGGTCACTCAAGAGCCTACACACACACACCTTACGGAGGAATGGCTGGAGAATCAGGCTCTGCTGATATGAGAAAATGCCAAATGTCATCAGTCTCCAAGCTCAAATGTCCTCATATAAACCTTAACAGGGAGCATTTTAATTTGAGGTACACAATTTCTGTGAACAGAGAGGCTTTTATTCCTTTATTTTCAAAGTGTACCTATACATGACAAAGTATTTTCTACTGGCTAGAAAAAAGTTTCAGCAGACAAGTATTTTTGGCAGAAGAAATGAACGTAAGAAAAAAAATTCAAACTGTCAAGGACCTATCAAAAGACCTTTAAAACCACATGGCATTTTTTTTTTAAAAAAAACAAGAAAAACAACTTGACTTTTCTGGGATTTGTAATGATCATTATGAACAACAACACAAAGCTCCCCCAAAATGCAGTCACCTTTGGTCACAGCTTCTTGCAAAGGGAGGGTTAAGGGACTGGTACCAAACCTCATTTTTATAAAATACTCTATGTAGAGGGACTCTGTCAAACAGTGGAAAACTTCAGATTCTGAGAATTTTACTCTTTGACTTTCCCTGAAGATTTCAAAGATATTTATTTATAGAAGTTTAGTCTTTTAAGGTTATGAAATTACTAAAAATTCTGAGATCGATTCACCCTGCCTCATTATTCATACCTAAGCTGACTGACAAACTTACAATTACATTTTTTAAACCAAATGACAAAAATTTGAATAGTAATCTCTCTGTACATAAAACAGAATTATGAGTTTTATTATTTTTTTTAAATGAGAGTTCAGAGAGTAAAAACTACTTTTGAACAGACACCATCATCTTAAACATGAGATTCAATGCTACCAATCTGCCTTTTAACCACACCACCAGTTATAGCTTTTAGGGATAAGTAGGTGGGAAATTTAAGGATGTTAAGAGGCTTTGCTTTCAATTACAAAAGCCCATCTGAACGCAGCCTTCACGGACTGTGGTTGAAGAAATTATTAAGAACTGAAAGACATGACGCTTGTCTTCATTAAACTGTACTTTGGCATTTATTATCCCAGTCACATGTGTTCAAATGAGCTTCAATGCTTGTAAGCAAAGCTGGTCTCAAGACAGCAACCAGGCTAAGAAGTAAGACTCAGGCCCTAAGAAACCTGTAAGACCATGAAAAATCATCCTCTTAGCTGCAGAATTCCCCCTGAGGACCAAAGAGTGGTTACTGTAGAGCATGCTTGCTTTTCACTCCCAGAGCCCAGGAGTCTAGCCAGCATACCTTAAATAATGGAGCAGGGGCTTTCTGGAGGGCCCAACTTCCTCATCCGTAGAGTTCTATAATGTTATTTCCCAACAGGGAGCTAAAATGCTGCAGCTGCTGTTTTTTAAAAAATGTTTTTAGCTGTTTGTATTCATTTTGTTAATGTGTCCTGGGTTTTGAAGTCAAGGGCACAGTGCCACAATGTCACACATCAAATAGAACAAAACAGGATGTCAATGAGGGAATTCTAACTTTCAAAGTCCCCATGTTCAAGGCCTGATTTCTAAAAACCTCTGGAACCCCATTAACCAAAATGGGCCATGGAATAGAGCAGGCGATTATGAGATTTGTTAGATCAACATCAGTTACACTGAAAGTACCGAAAGCCATGATTCAGATGTGCTTTGGCGAGTGCAACTGCTGAGTTCAGCGATAGTGCATTTGAGAACTTGCCATCACAAAAGTTAGGAGCAACAATGGAAAAGTTATCCTATGCTACTCTTCCTTAAAAAGCAAAAACAAAAACAGCAAAAACAGCATCCCAACAAGCCTGCCTTGAACAACACTATCTTGGACTCCCTGTGAAAAGGTCAGACTTAAGAAGAAACACAGGTCGCTGGTACAGACCTCACCAGGCTTGGAGAGATCTCAAAGAAGGGGCCCGAGAAGTGGTCTGCAGGCTTCTCATTGGAGACATGTCAGACAAAGATATTCAATTCAAGAAGAGTCAGATTTGCTATGACTACCAGAACCAGAGACAACACACACAGGCAAACCACATTCATCATTTTTTTTTTTTTTTCTTAAATATGTGACTGGGATACTAACAGAAAATGCAGTTTAATGTAATTAAAGAGAAAAGCATTACAGAGTGGGCACAATGAATTGAATAAGGACTTTGTATTCTATTTAGCAGTCATGCACATTGGTGACCAAGAAAGGATTTACAATTCATTGTCAAAAAATCCTTTTAAATGGTCAGTCTTTTAAGGATGGCTGCAGCAGAACAAGGCAAACTGAATACTGGAATGAGACGGGAAAATCAACACCACCTAAAGATTGGTTTTGTGTTTTCTCTTGGGAGTCCCTCTAGAACAGAATTAAGGGTCTACTTTCATATTTTCTGCTATAGTGCTCTATCAAGAGCAGTCTGGGGTAGAGAACATCACCAGACCATGTCCATAGCCAGGGAAGAGCTGCTCCCTACCAATTCCCAGGGTTGGGCCCAGGGCCCATTTCTGGGGCAGAGGGGAGGCATTGCCTGTATGGGAAAGGCAATATAGGACAACATGGATGACTTCAAGCTTTCAATCTGTCATGAGAAAAGGCAATAGACTGTGGCCTACTCCTTATTGGAGAAAAAAAAAATGAAGGAATTTCTTAAAGTGGAAAAAAATGGTCTTAGCTCCTGTTTTTACCTGCAACAGGTGTCAACTGCTGATTGAGCATCCCCATTGGTGTTGGTGGTGGCACCACCCCCATGAGAGCCCCCACAGGGGTGCCTGCTCGGGGAGAAGCACTCGGCTGCTGTTGCTGTGCTGCTCGCTCTCTCTCCTGCTGCTCAGCAACTTTAGCTGCCCGCTCTGTAAAGGCATTTCAGATTTTCAATTCTGTTTTTAACCCAGGAATTCAAAATACCATCCATTGCATTCAACAGGACTAGTAAAAACACAGGCAACAGTTCTGTCTCAATGGAAGGAACAGTAGATGACTAGTCTCAACACAGGAGGAGTCGGGCCGATTTCACTTGGTAACCTAGAGTCCAGCTTTCCTATCCCATCTTGAGAACTGGTCTGTAAAGATTTCAAGAATGTTAAGACTGCAACACACATTCAGAAAGCACAGGTTTTATGTAAACACGTCACCAGCATAACCACCATGGTTAATCTCACGAGGCACCCTGAAGATGAGAAGCGCTACCATTATTCTAGTATTAATAGCATTACAGATTATTTATAATTTCAACATGAAGCAATTCCATGGCCCATTATATTTTTTGGTACAATTGTTACTTACTATATGTATTTCCTGATTCTTTGTACCCAATTTTACTAAGATTTGAGGACTCATCATGAGTGTCATGGGGTTTAGCAGCTGAAGAAAATTAACTCTGTAAGGGAAAAGCAGCTGACTGCCTCCTCCAGAAGGTTTTAGGGTAACAACTAATTTCTACATTCTAATGAAGCAAAGAAGTCATGTTTAATAAACCCCAAGGGAAAAAAATGCATTATATTTCCAGCTACAATCAACAGAAGCAGAGAATTACATATATATACATGTATGTAGCAATGGACAATGTACTGAAAGAACCAGGTTTCCTGAAGCTGAGCAGTTCCATAGTGACCATAAACTACCCTAAATCAGTGAAAATTCTAGAATCCCTCTTATTTCATTCAAAATGCAAAAAGAGCATTTGCTGTGGCAGTTCTGGGATGCAGAATACATCCTGCTACCTTCCCCCTTCCATGCTCTGAGCAACTCTGTTTGCATCTCCAGAGCCAGCAGCTCCAATGATCATGTTTCCAGTGTTTTTGGGAGCTAGTGCACTGGACCCCTACTGAAGAACTCCTGAAATGTTGTATTTCTAAAGCTCTCACCATATAGAGCTTCTTGTCTCACCATTCATAAATAGAAAATCCCCCCCACTCATCACATAGGCAAATGGAGGCTGGGAGACAGGCAGTCACTTGTCCAAGGATACAGAGAGAACCAGCAACCTATGGCCCTAACTCCTGATATCACACTCCAACTGCCACACATAAACCCTCCAACATGGAACTCAACACCACTGATTTGAGGAGGGGGAAAATAGCTCGAGGTCATATGACTTTACAGAGAATCAAGAAGCTACAGCTCCAGTCCTCCTTTAAAGCAAGAATATGAAAGTCAAGCAATCAAAGGCCTCTTTGCTGTGACAGAGTTGCCTGTATAACCTTATCATCACTAAGACTGTCCTAGTTTACAGACTGTTTGTATGATGAGTATGAGAGAGACGAAGGCCATTTGAACAAACTATTTACTTGAGCTAGCAGTAAAAAAAAAAAAAATCAATATAAAGTCCCACTTCAAATTCTAGTATTTTCATTAAATGACACAGTAAAGTGGGAAAGCAAAAATAAATAAATAAATAAATAAATAGAAACAAACAAACAAAAAAAATAAGGCCTGCGGATTGAGTATTGGTCTGGCTTCCCAAACTCCAAACTTCGGGTTTTGAATTCAATGGGAAAGAACACGAAAAGTTCAGATTTTATGTCTCAGGTAGATGCTGCTGAATCATATAACTTCACCTCATTAGGTTCTCACTCATTTTCAGACTCCCCTTTGAATTTGGAAGAATGTTCCAGACGCCATCACCTCTCCCTCTTTTCCTGATCCAGTGTTTTTACCTTCACAGTATCTTCAGGTATCTCTCTCCTGCCCACACTCTAAATAACCAGCCACCCAGCACTGGCTTCATTTGCCTTGCTGCTGCTGCTATGCTGCTTGCCCAGCAACATCCATGTGAGCTTCCAATGCTCCTCCAGCTGAGTGGTACAGTAGGTCTTAACTTTCACTAAGGTCAGAAATATCAAAGCTCCACAAAGTTCTAAGTTCTTATGGAACTGACTAGGGTTTTTGAAAGAATATTCTTCAAAATATTAGTTCTCGCCGGGCGCGGTGGCTCAAGCCTGTAATCCCAGCACTTTGGGAGGCCGAGGCGGGTGGATCACGAGGTCAAGAGATCGAGACCATCCTGGTCAACATGGTGAAACCCCGTCTCTACTAAAAATACAAAAAATTAGCTGGGCATGGTGGCGCGTGCCTGTAATCCCAGCTACTCAGGAGGCTGGGGCAGGAGAATTGCCTGAACCTAGGAGGTGGAGGTTGCAGTGAGCCGAGATCGCACCATTGCACTCCCGCCTGGGTAACAAGAGCGAAACTCCGTCTCAAAAAAAAAAAAAAAAAAAAAAAAAACATATATATATATATATATATATATATATTAGTTCTTCAGGATATTCATAGGTACTACATAAATACCTGGTCAAATTTCAGAAAATGCCAGATAATAAAAAACAGGTTATTTACTGTTACTCTTAAAGTCTTTAATGTGGGAATAGGCACCATAAGTTTCCAAGAGAGAGAGTTTGGAATGCTTCTCAAACTGGTTTTGCCACAAAATGTTTTTTGACTAAACATCTTGCAGGATTAGAATTCTCTGCAGAAGATCCTTGGGGAAGCCTGTCAGATAATTTCATAATAATCAATCAGTTATAATAAATGAAAGGAGTAAAACTTTTTTTTGAAGTTTTTTTGGAGACTTCATCAATTTTAATAAAGGGGACAGCCTAAATAATTAATTTATGTTTGCCAGAAAATAACAGAACTGTACCCACCTAAGAAGAGTAGTAGTTGACCACTGTAGAGAGAATAGCTCTAAACTGGCAAAATGAACCAATATATAAAATTCCAGATGGAAAAAATACAGTTCGAAGGGCAATAGTCCTGCCTAATCTAATGTTTACTACTAATTTCTTTACTAAATCCATGTCTGATATTAAAACAAAAACAAAAACCCAACAACAAAAAACAAAAAAATCTCAAGTATTTGTCCCTAAATGGCTAAGAACCACCAAATTCTTGAATGAAAGCTCATTGCCCCAAGTGATTTAATTAGAATAAAAGGAAAATAAAGGCAGTTGAGCTTTATCAAAAAGACCCAAATACCTTAAAAGTAGCTATAAATACAGATACAGTATAGGCCAGGACTGACCCAGAAAACCAAGCACTTTAGTAAAGACTCAGCTTGGAGTTTAAATATATGGCTTACCAAGAGCTGTAACAGAAGATTACTGATTTTAAGAGGCCCTTTTCAGATGAATTTTAATTAAAATTATATTTAACATCATTGTACAATCATTCCCTGGCTCAACGTGTGCTTACAGGGCTCAATGAAAGAAAAAAATCATGCAATTTTTAATAGCAAAATATTTTGGAGATTATAAAACCATGAGATCTTGAAAAAAAAATATCTTGGAGAAATCTGCAGGGGAAATACACCACCAGATCAGAGGCCAAGTCAGGACAAGGCTGGCATCTAAATTACTGGTTGGGTGCCATTTGGAACAGTCCCCAACATAAAGTTCATGTGCAAGTGGTAAGAACGAGAGTAAAACCTGTCTATGCACGTGCATTCCTGAAAACAACCCCTTGCTTAGAAAGATAGTTGTGCCCAGGCTCTATTTACCTTCATATTCCGCTTTCTTGGCTGTCTCAAGGTTTCTCCATTCTGTCCCCACCAGGCGGCTGAGCTCCCCGAAAGAGTAGTCTGGGTGTTGGGCCTTAATCACAGCCCTCATCTCACTGCTAAACAGGATGTAGCCACTCATGTTGATTTTCCGTTTGGAGCCTTCCTTCTTTGCACTGCCTTTGGCAGACTTTGGGGTAGACTGTAAGACAGAAACCTCTTATGGTGCATCAGAACATTACATTTGGTTAACTGCTCAAAATTTCAGAAGCCAGGAACATGTGATTCAACAGTTACTGCTTTATAGACACATTTGGTTTATAGCTGGCTATTTTCTTGGTCAAAACACACCCTTTCTTTGCCTATTACCATGTAAGAAATAAATGAAAGTTTCACTGAATTCCATGGCTGCAATCTGTAATGGTGACCTCACAGTTAAGTCTTGAGAAAATTCTTTTTTTTTTTTTGACACAGGGTCCTGCTCTGTCACCAGGCTAGAGTACAGTGGTGCAATCATAGCTCTCTGCACCTTGATCTCCCAGGCTCAAGCGATTCTCCTGGTTCAGCCTGCTGAGTAGCTGGATCTATAGGAGTGCACCACCATGCCTGGCTAATTTTTAAAATTTTTAGTAGAGATGAGATCTCACTATGTTGCCCAGGCTGGTCTTCAACTCCTGAGCTCAAGTGATCCTCCTGCCTTGGCCTCCCAAAGTGCTGGGATTATAGATGTGAGCTGCTGTGCCCGGCCAATTCTTTAAAAAATTCTGAATAAGAAAAAAATACCAACAGAGATCACCTCAATCAAAAGATGAGGTCCTACAGAAGAAGAGATTAAAAAGACATGGGTAATAAAAGCTAAAGACAAACAGGGTGATGTTGCTCCTTATTGCTTTTCTTCAGCACAAGGAAGAGTTTTCTAACTAAGCCTGCCATTATGAAATTTTTAAGAGACATTAATTCTAAATTAATAATGGCATTAGTATGACAGATAAATTATTAATGGCACAGTAACATGATATAATTGTCAATTAAAAATAAATGAATAAATCATAGCATTGACAAATTAAAATCTATTCCTTTCTGTAGAATTCTAAGTTAGAGCTCACATAGCGGGGGGCTGGATGTCTCTTTACTTTGGTTTTGAGTGTGCTGCAAACCAAAGGTGGGAATAAGACAAGTAACAGGAACTTGTCACTTCACCTGTGGGGGTGTGTAGGGCATGAGGTCCAGCTCACTGGCCAGGGGGGTCTGAAGCTGAGGTAGAGAAGGAGGTTCAATGGCCTCACTATCTTCTTCTCCCATCTCTTCAATATCATCATCTCCACCTTCTAACTCGGCAAATTTAGCTTCTAGCAATTGGATCTTCTTTTCCAACAAAGGTGATGGCTCCTTCTGAGGAACAATCGGTTTTCTGAAAAAAGTCACATAAAAAAACCTAAAATCAGCTAATGCTCCCCCAGAATGAGTCAAAAAGCAGTGTTCCACCTTAACCACTAGAAGTGACTTCTGGCAATCTGCAATGTACACTCTAAAGGCAGCATGGAAAGAGTTTAAATGTGTATTTATGAAATTACTTCTATTTAGAGATGCTTGTTTTTAAATAATTCTGCTGAATACCTATAAGAGCATTGTGTCCAAGGATGGGATCTAGTTGCCTATATACAGCAAAAAGAGTTTTTGGCCGGGTGTAGTGGCTCATACTTGTAATCCCAGCACTTTGGGAGGCCAAGATGGGCGGATCACAAGGTCACGAGTTTGAGACCAGCTTTATCAACATGGTAAAAACCCGTCTCTACTAAAAATACAAAAATCAGCCGGGTGTGGTGGCACATGCCTGTAATTCCAGCTACTGGGGAGGCTGAGGCAGGAGAGTCGCCTGAACCGGGGAAGCGGAGGTTGCAGTGAGCTGAGATTATGCCACTGCACTCCAGCCTGGGTGACAGAGCGAGACTCTGTCTCAAAAAAAAGAGTTTTCATAGTCTGTGGAACTGAGAAATCTCCTAACAGACAGGATATGAACCAGAACCAGACATATCTACCTCATCCCACAGTTACTGGAGTCTAAGCCAAGGGCACTGCTAAGTAGCTACCAGGACCCAGCAGATTATGATCCTTTAATCTTTAACTGAATTAATAAATATTTTCTATTTGAAATATTTACTATTCTAGTTTAAGATCTAATGAAAAGTTAAAAACATTGGACTATACTACGTTGACATAAGTTAATGGAAGTGCTCCTTTTTTTTTAGTTTTTCAAGCTTTACCTGAAGTAGTAAATTTCATCATCTACCACTTTAGCAGAGAGTGAAAATCTCTTCAATCCTTTGAATTTCTTCATCTGCTTGTCGCTCTCATTGTAGCGGCTCTCACAAAGCAGAATGTCATTTTCTGGTATTTCAGTTGGCCTGCAGGAGAGGAAGTCCTTGAATGACAATACAGCACACTTTCCTGAAAGAGAAAATTAGAAAGAGATTAAAGGAGTAAACTATGGTCACAGTTAATAATTGTTTTAACATTTTATTATTATTATTATTTATTATTTTTTTGAGATGGGTTTCACTCTTGTTGCCCAGATTGGAATGCGATGGGGTGATCTGCTTACCACAACCTCCACCTCTTGGGTCCAAGCAATTCTCCTGCCTCAGTCTCCCGAGTAGCTGGATTACAGGCATGTGCCACCACGCCCAGCTAATTTTGTATTTTTAGTAGAGATGGGGTTTTCTCCATGTTAGTCAGGCTGGCCTAGAACTCCCAACCTCAGGTGATCTGTCGGTCCCAGTCTCCCAAAGTGCTGGGATTACAGGCGTGAGCCACTGTATCCAGTCAACATTTTATTATTTTTGGACGAATACATTCATATAATTAAAAATTAAAAAGAAATAAAAGGGGCTAGTTGTGGTGGCTCACGCCTGTAATCCCAGCACTCTGAGAAGCTGAGGTGGGCAGATCTCTAGAGCTCAGGAGTTCGAGACCAGCCTGGGAAACATAGTGAGACCCCCAACTTCTACAAAAAACACAAAAAATCAACGAGGCATGTGGCACATGCCTATAGGCCCAGCTACTCAGGAGGCTGAAGTGGGAATCATCTGAATCTGGGAAGTCGAGGCTACAGTAAGCTGTGATTGCGCCATTGCACTGCAGCCTGGGTGACAGAGTGAGACCCTGTCAAAAAAAAAAAAAAAAAAGATATAAAAGGATACATATTGGCATAAGGATAGAATATATAGGTAAATGGAAGAGAACTGAAAGTGTAGAAATAAACCCATATAATAGGGCTTTTATGGGCAACTGGTTTTTGATAAGGGTTCCAAGACAATTCAATGGGGGAAAGAATACTCTTTTCAAAAGATAGTATGGTATCAGGAAAACTAGATTTCCATTTCTGCACATGAATGCAGTTGAACTCCTACCTACTATCACATATAAAAATTAATTCAAAATGGGCTGAGTGTGATAGCTCAAGCCTGTAATCCCAGCACTTTGAGAGGCCAAGGCAGGAGGATCACATGAGGTCAGGAGTTTGTACAGCCTGGCCAACGTGGTGAAACCCTGTCTCTACTAAAACTACCAAAATTAGCCAGGCGTGGTGGTGGGCACCTGTAATCCCAGCTACTCGGGAGGCTAAGGCAGGAGAATTGCTTGAACCCAGGAGGCAGAGGTTGCAGCGTGCCAAGATTGAGCCATTGCACTCCAGCCTGGGTGACAAGAGCAAGACTCTGCACCCTCTCCCCAACCACCCTCCCCCCGCAAAAAAGCACAAGCAACCAAAGGAAATAGGCTGCATCGGATGCAGTGACTCATGCCTATAATCTCGGCACTTTGAGAGGCTGAGGTGGGTGGATCACCTAGTCAGGAGTTCAAGACTAGCCTAGCCAACATGATAAAACCTCATCTCTAATAAAAATACAAAAACAATTAGGTGGGCGTGATGGCACTCCCCTGTAATACCAGTGACTCGGGAGGCTGAGGCAGGAGAATCGCTTGAACCTGGGAGGTGGAGGTTGCAGTGAGCCAAGAGTGCCCCACTGCACTCCAGCCTGGACAACACAGCAATACTCATTGTGTTCCAAAGGATACTATCAAGAAAGTGAAAAGATAAGCCATACAAGAAAATATTTGCAAATCATATATCTAGGAAGAGTCTAGTATTCAGAATATGTATTCCTACAACTCAACAATAGGACAAATACATAACCCAATTAAAAAATGTGCAAAAGATCTAAAGTGACATTTCTCTAAAGCATACAAATGTCCAATAGGCACATGAAATAATGCTTAACATCACTCATCATTAGGGAAATGCCAATCAAAACCTCAATAAAATATTACTTCACACCCCATTAGGATGGCTATATTAAAAAAAAATTAAAAATCCAAAATGGAAAATAACAAGTGTCGGCAAGGATGTGAAGAAAATTGAACCCTTGTATCTCGTTGACAGGACTGTAAAATGGCGCAGTTGCTGTGGAAAATAATTAGGCAGTTTCTCCAAAAATTAAACAGAGTTACCATATGACCTAGCAATTCTACTTCTAAGTATATATCCAAAAGAAACCAGAGGATCAAATAGATACTTACACAACACTGATAAGAGCAGTTTTATTCACAATAGATAAAATGTGAAAACTTATAACTCCATTAACAGATGTAGTATACATATAATGAACATATAGCCTTAGGAATAAAATTCTGATATATGGTACAACAGGGATGAACCCTGAAAACACTATGCTAAGTAAAATAAGCCAGATAGGACAAATATTACATGATTCCACTTATATTATGAGCAGAAAGTAGAATAGAGATTACTAGGGCCGGGGGAAGAAGAAAATAAAGAGTTGTTTAATGGATACAAAGTTTCTATTTGGGATGATGAAAAAGTTCTAGAAACGAACAGTGGTAATGTCTGTACAATATTGTTAAAGGACTTAAAGCCACTGAACTGTACACTTTAAAATGGTTGAAGCTGGGTGCGGTGGCTCATGCCTATAATCCTAGCATTTTGGGAGGCCAAGGCAGGCGGATCAACTGAGGTCAGGAGTTTGAGACCAGCCTGGCTGACATGAAAAAACCCTGTCTCTACTAAAAATACAAAAATTAGCCAGGTGTGCCCCTGTAATTCCAGCTACTCAGAAGACTGAGGCAGGAGAATCACTTGAACCCAGGAGGCAGAGGTTGCAGTGAGCTGAGATTGTGCCACTGACTCCAGCCTGGGTGACAGAGAAAAGACTCCATCTCAGGGGAAAAAAAAAAAAAAAAGGTTAAGATGATGAATTTTATGTCATATATATAAAACAATAAACTCCCATAAATGGCAGCATATCACTTAAAACTGTTTTATATCTGAATTTTGTCACAAAATAACATGGCTTGGAGATTATGGCTTTTATTATTCAACTAGTTCCCTATAGATGAATAACTAGGTTGTTTCCCAATTTTTGTTCTTCTACTGATGCTAAACAACACTGAAATAAATAATTTAAGACATATCAATTTGCACATAGGTGAATACAACTGAAGTATAAATTTCTGGAAGTATAAAAGCTGGGTCAGGGCCGGTCACGGTGGCTCATGCCTATAATCCTAGCACTCTAGGAGGCTGAGGCAGGTGGATCACCTGAGGCGGGTGGATTGTGCCATTACACTGCTGCAACCTGGGCAACAAGAGCAAAACTCCGTCTCAAAAAAAAAAAAAAAAAGCTGGGTCAAAGGATATGTACATTTTAAAATTTGTTAAGACGCAGTTTCACTCTTGTTGTCTAGGATGGAGTGCAGTGGCGTGATCTTGGCTCACCACAACCTCCGCCTCCTGGAATCATGCGATTCTCCTGCCTCAGCCTCCCCAGTAGCTGGGATTACAGGCATGTACCACCACGCCCAGCTAATTTTGTATATCTAGTAGAGACAGCATTTCTCCATGTTGGTCAGGCTGGTCTCGAACTCCCGACCTCAGGTGATTCACCTGCCTCACGAAGTGCTGGGATTACAGGCGTGAGCCACTGCGCCCAGCTAAATTTTTATAGGTATTATAAAATTACTTTCCATAAAGGGTGTCCTAACTCGCAGACTACCACAAAGTAGGTAAATACCATTTCCTCATGCTCTTGCCAATTAGTGAGAAATGTCTTCCAGATCTTTGACAATTTGACAGGTAATCTCAAAAAAGAAAAATCATCTGGGTAATTTAGCATTTCTCTAATGGCTGAGGTTAGCTATATTTTCATTTGTTTAAGAATCATTGGTAGTTTTTTTTTTTTTTTTAATGGAGTCTTGCTGTTACTCAGGCTGGAGTGCAGTGGTGCAATTCTGGCTCACTGCAACCTCTGCCTCCTGGGTTCAAGTGATTCTCCTGCTTCTGTCTCTGGAGTAGCTGGAACTACAGGCGCCTACCATCACACTCAGCTAATTTTTTTATTTGAGATGGAGTCTTGCTCTGTTGCCCAGGCTGGAGTGCAATGGCATGGTCTCAGCTCACTGCAACCTCCGCCTCCCGGGTTCAAGCAATTCTCCTACCTCTGCCTCCCGAGTAGCTAGGATTACCGGCAGGCACCACCACACCTAATTTTTTTGTATTTTTAGTAGAGACAGGGTTCACCATATTGGCCAGGCTGGTCTCGAACTCCTCACCTTGTGATCCGCCCACCTCAGCCTCCCAAAGTGATGGCATTACAGGCATTGAGTCATCACACTGGGCCCTAGTAATTTCTTTCTGCTCTCTTATCTTTTTTGCCCATTTTCCTGCTGGATGTTGATCTTTATCTAATTGCTTTACAGGAGCTCTTCATATATAAGAAAAATCAGTTCTCTGTCTATAATAAACACTGCAAATATTTTCTCAAATTTTCATTTTTGTTTTTGCCAGTTTTGGTCACATAGATATTTTCCATTTTTATACAGTTGAATTTATCAGTATTTCATTGTATGAGTTCTGGCTTTTACGTCAGAGATTAACAAAATTTCTTTCCCATGGTTTCTTTTGGTATCTTTGTTTTTAATTTTATGTTTATTTAAATTTATGATTCATCTGGGAATCTATCCCAAATTTAAGATGTGGGATATGGCCACAATTTTATTTTTCCAAATGGTTGAGTTTCCAAAACCATTTAGAGAAAAATACAACTTTCACCACTTATCTAATATGCCACTGTTATATATTTGCTAAACTTTCTATTTTGTTTAAATAACCTGTTTGTTCATATATCATAGAAATAGTTTTAATTATTGTAGTGCGATAATGTCTTAATATCTGCTAAGGATAGATCCCCTTACACTATACTTTTTAGAATTTTCCTGAGTTTCTTTTTCATTTTTTGAGAAAGGGTCTCACTTTATTGCCCAGCCTGCAGTGCAGTGGTGAGATGATGGCTTACTGCAGCCTCAATCTTCTGGACTCAAGCGATCCTCGTACCTCAGCTCCCTGTCCTGAGTAGCTGGGACTACAGGAGAGT